CGAACCAGATCGATCTTGCTGAAGATCGCCTTACCTGTGAGGCATGCGATAAGGTTCTGCATGTGTGGGATGGGATACCTATCTGGGACGGTTAGGCGATTGAGTGCACGGTAATCACCGCAAGGGCGCCAGTCACCAGATTTCTTGGGGACCATCTGCAGGGGAGAGGACTAAGGGCTGTCGGAAGGGCGGATTATTCCAAGTTCAAGCTACCTTTAGCTTCTCAGGCGATAGTCGGCGTGGACGGCATGACACAAGTGGACCGTTCGTCCGTATGTGGCGCGTGACTTGAGCTGCCATTGGCTGCTTCATTGGCTGAACGAGCTTGGGATATTGAGAAAAGAGATTAGCGTAGTCTGGCAAGGTCTGGGGAAATGCATAGATAGGGGATATAGATGTGACATCGGCGGTGATGCCACGTACACTGAGTTTGGATGCAGCGTCGACTATCATCTGGCGTTTCGCGCCGACCAAGAGATCGAAATGCCTGAGAAAGTCAATGCCGATGATGGCAAAGGGGACTGCAGCGACAGTAAATACCCAGCGGAACGTGCGCCGAAGACCTAGGTCCAGGGTAAACGATCGATGACCGTAGGTGGGTATTGGCGTGCCATTGGCGGCACTGAGGCTTGTCGACAGAGAAGCGGTAGGCTCACTTGGCATAGGGGGAATGACGCTGACTTCCGCCCCGGTATCAACTAAGAACTGGGTATCGGAGTCGTATTCCCTAATGTAGATGAGACGACTTTGAGCTTTGCCGACATTCGTGGCCATTACAGGCCGGCGTGGCGGATCATCTGTAGCGGAGTAGCTACACGGCTGTACGCACTTACGGGCTTTAGTACCGAAACGCGAGTGGTAAAAGCAGTAACCTGTGGCACCAGGTTTTGTGCGACGGGGCGATGATCCAGACCGGTTGCGGTGCTTACGTTTTAAAGTGAGTTCCTCGATATGGCGCTAAAGCGACGCTATCTGCAATGATAATGCGTCTATTGCTGACGGCGGGCTAGTCGCGCCTGTCGTTGTGGTTGCGCCAACACAAAGCTGTTTAGGTGCTTTGGTTTCAGTCTCTGGCTGGTGCCGTTCGATGACGCGGTCTGCTAGATCTGCAACTGCTGTGATGGGCAAGTCACTTGCTACCGCAATGATAGCCTGAGTGCTTGCAGGAAGGCGTTGCATCCACAGCTCCCGGAGAATCCCCACGTCCATGTTGAACGTGCCGATGAGCTATTGCATTTCGCGCAACAAGGCTGAGGACATCCTATCTCCCAGCTGCAGATCACTAAATAGTTGCTGCAGACGGACCTTTACAGAAGACGTGATTCGCTGAATAATAGCCTGTGTAAGAGTCTCGTATTTCATTACTAGAAGGGGGCAAATTGTCTCTCACCTGCGAGGATATATTCTGAGGAAGGTAAGATTTTAGCTGATTATACATGGCGAAATAAAAAAATACTACGAATATAAAATACGGATTCTAGGTGCAAAAACCATAATAAAGCATCATTCTTCCAAAAAGGGGGAGGGGCTAACGCAACAGAATTGACCAAGACAGGCTGAACGGCGTTAACCGCGCATGGAAACGGTTTATCCCCTAGATTATCCACTGCAAAAAGCAGATTAAAGACGTGGTAAGTGAGGAAACAATAGGATCACAAGTAGTGAACTACAAAAGCACTGGAACGAGCTCATCAATGAAAACGCAAAATGGTGGTCAGGTCAGGTCAGGTCAGATAAACGATAGAGGCTTCCGCCTAATGAGCGTCCAGTTCTTGTGCCGGTAAGTGAAGCGACCCCCGGCACTTCGACGTTGGATTGTCTCCTCTTGCTTCTGCAATGGAATGAAGCAAGAACAAGAGCAATCTCTGCATGTTCATATGCCAGCATCAAAATACACTACATATTAAAGTACAACTACAATATCTCTGGAAAAAGGATGGACCAACAATTGTCTAAGCCCCTTTTGAAGGCTTCTACGGTCTCAGACTCCACTAAATCAGAAGGAAGTTTATTCCAGTAGTTAACTACTCGGTTCGTAAAAAACTTTGCCCTGATGTCCAAACGAGCTCTGTGATGTTTAAGCCTCAGGCGATGCCCGCGCAGATGGTCTGACGTAGCCAGCTCAAACAGATGGGTGGAACTAATACCACTAAGTCCCTTAATGATCTTAAACGTCTCTATCAAATCCCCTCTCAACCTACGCCGTTCCAGGGAAAATAATCCTAAGCTACTTAGACGATCTTCATAAGACTTCCCTCGTTGACCTTCAATCATCCTGGTCGCAAGTTTCTGTATCTTTTCTATACAAGTGATGTCACTACGGAGGTACGGTGACCAGGCCTGAACACAATACTCCAGATGTGGCCTGACCACTGCTTTATATAAGGGCAAGAATACTTCTGCTTTAGTGTTACTCAGCGCCCTCCTAAGACGAAATAACTCGTGTCGTGCTTTATTGGCAGCATGGCGACACTGTGCCGAAGGCTTAAAATTGTTCGCTACGATGACACCTAGATCACGGGCTTCGTCAGTGCACCGCAATGATAGAAATCCCACAGGAGACTGAACTGCAATTCCGCTACCACTACTAGTCAATAGTTGACATCTGTTGGCATTTAGAGGTAGGTCCCAGTGACTTGACCAATTCACCACAGTGAGGATGTCCTTAGCCAATGTCGCACGGTTACCCCTACTGACTAGCTTCAAGTCATCTGCGAAGATGTAGCAGGGGTCCTCAAGAAGAGGAGCCAGGTCATTTATAAACATAAGAAATAGCAATGGACCCAGAACCGAACCTTGAGGGACACCGCTGTAGGCATGACCAACACTAGAACTCGCTTCCCCAACGCTGACTCTGAATGTCCTTCCACGTAAGAATTCAGAGAGCCATAGTAATAGTTGAGGATGCAATCCAAACCATGTCAGCTTCTCAATTAAAAATCGATGATTCACGGAGTCAAAGGCTTTACTGAAGTCTAAATAGCACACCTCTACCGATATCCCACTATCAAGACAACGGGTAATCTCGTCTAAAAAGCACAGTAAATTGGTAAGACAAGACTTCTTTTTGAGAAAGCCATGCTGTTCCGCTCGAATTAGATTGTGCTCAGTCAAGTGCTCACAGATCCTGTTCCTTATAAGCTTTTCCAAGCATTTCAGCATGATGCTGGTCAAACTAACAGGTCTATAGTTAAGAGGCACCGACTTAGAACCCCCTTGTGGATGGCAACAATAGTCGCCTCCTTCCAATCATGTGGCAGCTTGCCTTCTTGAAGAGACTGGTTGAATAACTCCGCTACGGGATACTGAAGGACATCAGCCAGAGGCTTAACTATGGCGGGATGTACGCTATCAGGACCGGCTGATTTATAAGGGTTCAAACTAGCCAGCACTGTGAAGACCTCTGGCACACTGAGAATAATTTCCCGCATTTGGTAACTAGGTGAGCAGTGCGGCTGTGATGGCAAGACGAAGTCCGGGGACTTAGCGAAAACCAGATCTAAAGTAGATGGTATTTAGCTGTCCATATACCTGGACAACAACTTACTTGCTAACTTGCTACCGGGACATTGACGCAAACCGGAGCGTCGGAGCCACCAAGGTCAGGTCAGGTCAGGTCAAAATCCGTGGACGATACAGGCTTCCGCCTAAGGAGCGTCCAGCTTCTTGTACCGGTAAGCGAACCAGAGCCCCCGGCACTTCGACTTTTGATCGCCTCTCCTTGCCTCTGCAAAAAGAAATGAAGCAAAAGCGAGAGCAATCTTTGCTTTTACAAGGATAGGATAGGATTGGATAGGATTATATAATATTAATTATATTTATTATTATTATTATTTATTATTATTATTATTAATTATATTAATTCCGGAAAAATAGGCGACCAGCACCTGTCTAGGCCTCCCACTCAGCACCAGTGTCCGATGAACGCCCGTTGGATGTCCGATGGGCGCCCGTTGGGTGACCGATCGAGCGCCCGATGGGCGCCCGAGTGGCACAAAATTGTGTCACTCATCGGGCGCTCGCGGAGAAAAATAACGTGGCGCCTCCCTTCGCACGCTCACATTTCCACGATTTCCAGCCGTAACGGGTAAAGCCTAGCCGCATTATCCTCCCTTCCCATACCACTGCAAGCACGTTAATGCGGTCGCACACATTGCATGCCATGAACACAACACAGTTCGCGAAAACATAGTGTAATATGGATCTCATAATTTACAAAGCGGAATTTTCCAGTGCTAACCGTTCTGTTTCCTTTCGTATCCACGATTCACGCTCTTTAATTCGTTGTATCCAGCGTCGTAACTTATCAACAATATCAGGCTCTGTGCATCCTGGTATGTTTTTTCTCATAATGGAATCTGGTGAAGATATTAATGTTGTTTAAAAGGTAACATACCAAGGACCACTCTCGCGAATGGTGTGTTCGCTATTTTATACTTCTCATGCACACCACGCCAGTTCACATGTCTGACCAAGTTGTTAGTCATGCAAGTAAGCATGACGTTCCGCACACTTTCTGAGGTTGTCCGGCCGCTTACGTTGGATAAATAGTGCACCTACGAATAAGTGAAATTCCATGAGACTTACCATGCTGTTCATGAACTCAGCGTTCTCCAGTGCATTATTTAAAAATGACAGTTGCGCTATTGTATCCATTGGTAATGGAAATGGACACGCGTTGCTGGAACTTGGCGCCTGAAGTGCATGCAGCGCGTTCAAGGACAACTCAACAGCAGTCATTCGTTCGCGAAGTTTCATCACTTCGCGATTTACGTTCCGCAATGTGGCTGCAAGTAATTGTTTCGGAGACGCTGTGAACCAACCATTCATTTCCAACAGCAGTGCGCTGTCACAGGATGTTCCGCAAACAGGTAAAGGCTGAGCAACGTCTTGGTGAATAGGACTACGAGTGTAAAAACAAATGCATTGTTTACCTGGATGTATGGGGATAGGCTGATAGGTATCCATTTTCTTTATCGGAACCGTCGTTTAATTCCTCCTCCAAATACAGCTTCGGTGGTGGAGGTGATAAATCCAAGTTCACGACTTCAACAGTACCCCGCGTTGCGATTGGCGGGGACTCACAGTCGGGAAAGGTTTTTACAGTGCTGCGATAATATACTATCTATCTACAACATACATTTTTCGCTTCCCCCATCGTAGCATTGGAATCGTTGCGTCGCTAGATGGTAATTCGGCTGATGTTAGCAAGCTCTGTTCCAAATTTTTAGCCTCAAGGTAATCATCTAAAAATGCGTATAAATAAATCGTTCTGTGACCTCACCTGTACAACTGTGTATTCGTACTTTGTACGTCACAGCGGACGCAGGTGGTGGCAGACGGTGCATCAGGAAATCCTGTAACTGTTTTGATGATAACCGTCCCCACAGAACTTCCTCACTATTAATCATCCAGGATGACAGAACCACCGCAACGGAAGAATCTTGAAATTCGACCACGCGATACATCTGAAAAAAGGGGTCAGAGCACAGCATTTCTACGAGCTTATTAGAAGAGGTAAATGTGTTCGGTGGGGAAACTTTTATTTGCGATACCAGGTGCAGCAGCATATGCAGTGTATTCCATGGTGCTTAAAACGTAACAGTAACCCCGCAACGCCGTTACTGTTGTACAACGATTTTGCGCACCCAGGTTAAAAGTATAAAACGGACTGTTAACTGAAGCAAATAAATAAATGAAGACAGCTTACCTACGTCGGATGTTTCTTCATATCCTTGTGCCG